TACAGGGAAATAATATGGGATATGAATAGGAAAATGAAACTTTAGTCTGTACTTGTTTATTCACGAAATTTATCCTTCCAACAGTGGTCATATAACCTCATGTAATACATACAAGGGTGTGGTTGAGACTATGTGATAAATAGAAGTAGACGGAGAGAGAAAAATATATATTAGGTTCATTAATATAAGGGGCGTTTAACTTGATACTAATTGCTTTAGTTGGTGTTGTCTGTATCCGTTTTCTTTGGTGCTTATTTTCCGTATCTTCTATTATTTTTCTTTGTCTCTCTCGTCTGTTCAGTCATTCGCTTTTTTATATCTGTGTCTGTCTGTTTATTTATCTATTGATCTTTCTGTCCGTATATATATATATATATATATATATATATATATATATATATATATATATAATATATATATACCTAGTTGTTTAATGATCAGTTAATGAATTTGATTATTCACCTTTTTAGCTCCAGCCCTCGGTAATAGAGGTTACTCCAGTCGATGAGAGTATAATGGTAATGAGACTGAAGCTCTTTTGGCTTCATGTCTCTTATTGCTGTGTACGCTCCTACCGATGTTTGTAAACTTGATGTGAAAGAGATGTTCTACGCCAAACTAGCGTCTGTGTCAGACAGTTGCCCCCGGCGAGATATTCGTGTTGTCCTGGGTGACTTCAGTGTGGTATCTGCTATGATTGAGCTGGCTACGAGATGTCTTCGTCCCCATGCTTCGGGAGCTGATACCGGCAGCGAGAATAGCCTCCTTTTCCGGGACTTTGCTAGGTCCCAGAAACTGAGGATTTCTGGCTCCTGGTACCAGCGCCCAGACCCACATCGCTGGACATGGTACAGCGATGCAGGAAATGCAACCAAGGAGATCGACCACATACTCGTTAGCACTCGTTGGAGGATCCTCCAGAATTGCAGGGTGTATAGGAGTGCTGAGTTCTGTGGTACTGACCATAGATTGGTTGTGGCTACCCTCCGAGTCCATTTCAAAAACCCCAAGCTGACCAATGATCACCCCAGGGTGTTTCATTTGGACAGGCTGAGGGAGGGGGAATGTGCCCGTGGGTTTGCTGAGGTAGTCTCTGGTCGTTTTACAGCGCTCGAAAATCTGACGGCCCCTGTAGTTCTGTGGGACACCTTCAGGCGTGAAACGCTTGATGCAGCTCAAGAGATGATTGGTGAACGCCCGAGAGCAAGGCGAAATTTCATCTCACAGGAGACACTGGATGCCACAGATGCTTGTCGTGCAGCTCGTCTGGCAGGGGATCGAGATTTTCACCGTTCCCAGGTGCGCAGAACTCGGTCTTTGTTAAGAAGGGAAAAGGAACAGTTTATTAGGAACCTTGCTGAGGAGGTACAAGGCCATTTCTTAGTAAATGACCGTCCTGCATACCAAGCATCACACTGCTCTTTATACCAGGCAAGGTTCTTGCCCACATCCTTCTGAGACGTATCAGAGATCACCTACTGAG